TGTACACTTCTCGTTTTGTGCGTGTCATCCTTTGCGGACCAGCAGTTTCAACTCTTCTTTTTATTGCTCACCTCCATGAGGGTATGTGCTGGGCTAGCCCCCTACTTTTTCACAGCTTGGCTTTTCCAAGCCTTCACTTCGCCTAGGGTTTTCCCTGCTTTAAACATCTTCAGAGCTTCCTTGGCCAACTTGTTGTTGTGCTCCTTGCCTTTGTGGGAAAGAAGCTGCATAACCTGCCTCCCCCCTGGCACCCTCAAGGCCACAGCACCAGTCTTGTAGGTCATGAAATTCAAGGCCTGGTCTCCCATCACCCAGTCATCTGGCAACCTTTCCTCTTGACAGGCAGGCTTCTTACCCAACTTCTTTGAAGCAGCAGGTCTGGCCTCAGGCTTCTTACCCAACTTCTTTTCAGAAGCAGCAGGTCTGGCCATAGTCTGCCTGAGGGCCCTCTTCCTGGTAAGCACAGGCATCACATTCTCTGCTTCCTCCAGCAAAGAATCTTGGGTTGCAGGGACTTCAAACTCCTTCAGAAATCATCTGTCGCAATGCTCTTGGCAGGAGACACCACCTTGCCCAATGGCAAATCATTGGTCCACAGTGCTTTAGGGCTATCCAGCCCATATGGGCAATGAGCCCAAAAGCTTTTTAAGCACCCACCTTCTTGCCAACCTAGTGCTTTAGGGCTATCCAGCCCATATTGGCAATGCAGGGCTATCCAGCCCAAAAGCTTTTTTAGCGCCCACCTTCTTGCCAACCTTCCTGGGAGAGGAACCTTCCCCTGCAGGTTCATTGAAGAAGGCCCAAATCTCTTCCAGCTTTTCGAGCTGGAAATGGCTGAGCTTCTTCCCAGCCTCCAGGTATTTGGCTTTATCCCTGCCAATTCTCCTGCAATGGTTGCACACCACCAGCAAAGCATCAGCAAGTGTCTTCCATAGTGTTCCCTGCATTGACAGTGGGAAAGAGTCCTTGATGCCTGGAAAATCCTTCAGGATCTGCTTGAGCACCTCTGACAGGTCACTGTACTTGAACTGGAGGGAGGGCTCAACCTTGTACAGGCTCTTTATCAAAGGCAGCAGGTCCACCAAATCCTGGCCCACGACAGCCTGTTGCCTTTCCAGGTTGAGGTATTTGCCCAAAGCGAAAGCACCTTGCAGGCCAACAGCCTTCACATGGCAAACCAAACTGTCAGCTAAGTGGTTCAGGTCCACCTCTGGGACTTTCTCCCTTCTGGCACCACCCTTTGGCATTTTGAGTAAGACCTTTGCACATATTGCTTACGGGGGGCCTTTCCAGACCTTGGATTGTGGAGGGGTGGATTGTCCAGCCCATGGATTGTGGAAGGGGCTCTAGCCCATGCCCCAAATCAAAAGGCTATCCAGCCCATATGTGGGCATGTTTTGTGGGTGTGTCAGCAAAGTTAGCTAGCTTGAGTATAGTCCTTGGAAGATTCAAAAATTCAATTGAATTTTTCAATCGAATTTTCAATCGTGTTTTCAATAGAAAAAACATCTTTTTCAATCGAGAAATCAATCGAACCTAGAAATTCTGCTATTGAATTTTGTTTGAAAAAATCAATCTTCAATCGTATATTGAAAAAGAGAAAAATACAATATTGCAATTGAATTTTTTCAATCCAGGATGCTTTGGGAGTGAGTTGCCGATCCCCGCACCCATGGAGTGCTTGGCTGGCAGCTGGGCCACTTGCGAATGGCAAAAGCTTGAAATGGACGTGGCTGTAGCTGTTGCTGAGAAAAAACGATGTTTGGAGCACACCCTGCCGATGTTCATATCTCAAGTTGAACAGATGAATGCAGAAGATCTGGTCTCTGCTGAAAAGGAGATGGATTGGGCGTTGGTGGAACCGTATTTGAACTATGTACGGGTGCGGCCTGCCAGACTGCTCATAGCTCTGCGCGACATGGAGTCACCGAAGCTGAAAGTGGCGTCTGAGTACTTTGCTCACGCAATAGTGTACAACTGGGGGCCTGGCAGAGCAGTGGCGACAATGCTGGCTGCATTAGTGTTAGACTCTGAAGAGATACTTCACTTCGACAAACTGGAGACTCTGTTGAGACCGCTGGCTGATCTAGATTATATCAAATTCGGAAAGCGGGCCCACGAGATCATCTCGGCATCAGGCACGATCATGGGCACGAAGTTGGACATGACTACTACAGCCAGATTGTCTTACGTGCGCATTCTTGCCGCTCGTGCGAACTGGCCACCAAAACTGACCGAGGAGGATGAAGCCATGGCACGTAAGGAGACGCCAGTTCCAAGACGTGCTTACGACGGTGACGCTTGGATGGAGGTGGCCTATAGGCGCAGGCTGGAGCTGAGTAACAGGATGAGGCTGTTGCAACCCACACGAAAGCAGCCCATCGACTTGGACAGCCATAACGGACTGCGGCCTATCACAGGCCCGACTGGTCATTCAGGCGGAGGGCTAGTCGCAGATGACTTTGGTTTGAATGGCCTAAAGGGTCTACAACCGGATTCGATTTTATCGGGCAAGCGGAAGCTTCACATGCTGTTGAAGCCAATCCAGGAACCTTTTGCGCACCATCAAACCTCCAAGCGCATGAAGAAGGTGGAGGCGGGTATTCTGGGACGTGGCCTCTATCCGTTGTCATATGAGACCAGCTTAGTATCTGAACTGCTGGAAAAATGGTCGAAAATAATTTTGGAGGAGGACGAGTACTGTCAACTCGAGAAGAGCTACGAACACACAGTGGCCCAGCGTTTGCGACTTTGGCGAAAATTCATTCGCGGTAGCATACTGTTGTGTTCTGACGCGTCCGCATGGGACTGTCAGCATTCGTCCCAGGATATGGAAATGTCCTTGATACGCATCTGCGATTTAGCAAAGAAGCTTCGTCCAGAGATTTCACAGCTGGCCGAGTCCCTCAAAGAGGCTGCTTGCGCTTCACAATACGACAAGCGAATACTGATCAGGGACAAGCTATTTGCTGTGGTTGCAGGCGCGCTGTTTTCCGGTGATGGGCTTACTGCCCACGTGAACACGGAACAGATTCTAATCGAGTTGAAAAAGCCATTGATGACACCAATCGTAAAGATGCTTTTCGTAACCCAGTTCGATCACTACCACGCCTCTTCCGCGGGCGATGTCAAAAACCAAAGTTGACCCCGGTTACGATACCCCGGGGCCCACGCAGAGATGTCACAGAAGCTTACAATCCTCCGTGTGAAACAACTTCGGTTCGTAGCCGCCAAAAGGTCCGACAGGTCCGTCGTCTTAGATGCCTTCAACGCTTGTGTACTAAACAAACTGGTCAGGAACAAATGCCTGGCTCTGTGGTCTTAAGCCCAGAACTCCACCAGCTCTGGAAATCCATACGATTGGCCCCGGGTTATGGACGTGCCTGGGAAAGATGGATCTTACAGTTTGAAGTCATACCAGCCATTACAATTGATACACTCAATATAGATGATCTTGATAATATGCTTCAAATAACTAAGTATGACGCTGACATGTACTGCCAGTATGAGAATAAGCTTCGTAAAACATCCAACAAACATGCAGCCCACCTAGATCAAACCCAAAAGTCAGGATCCCGACTATATCGATCACTAAAGGCAGAAGAGAATAAAATCTTGCCAGGCTTTCCTGTGACCGTGGAATGTTTGGCCACCCTCCGTCCCAGTCCAGAAGGAGTGGTTCATATACTCATACACTCACCAGTGTCCTTTCAACAATACGGCAAATTGATCTTTGGAGATGCTGAGTTGATGCTATTATTGCAGGAGACCAACCTCCTTTGTGCAACACTTCTGTCAGGAATTTGTCCCACTCAAGCTCTCCTGCGACAGCATACATTTGCCTATCGAGCCAGTACATGACAGAACCATTCAGTAAGTATTGGAGCCAATATTGGCAACGTGATACCCCCAGTGAAGAACTTGAAGATTCAGCATGGCAGAATGTTGTGACTGACCTCACACAGCGGATCCCACCCACTGCTCCCCTGCCCATCATATGTGATCAGCCAGATTTAGTACAACAGACGATTAATAAACTAAAGCCATTTAAAGCACCTGGCATTGATGGATGGCGGGCTGAGGAGTTGCGTCTCCTCCCTCCAAGTGCAGTTAAGTCATTAGCAGCCATCTTTTCTCGCCTGTGGTCACATGGTCTTAGTCATGATCACATGATCGCCCGGGTCGTCCTTTTGGCCAAAAGAAATCCACCAGAAAACATTGGTGATGGACGCCCAATCACCATACTAGGATATGTCTCTCGTCTAACCAAAAATTGTGGCCGATCAACTTCTAAGACATTGGGGACAGCTATGGCCGTCGGCACTCGCAGGAGGTCTCCCTCATAGAGGTGTGAAAGACATATCATTCATGCAACAAGTCCAGTTAGAGAAATCCAAAAGCTGAATCAGTCATGGATGGGATTCACATTGGACTTAGTTAAAGCCTTTAATCTGCTCCCCCGCCGCGTCATTTACCATTTGCTTGTCTATCACGGCGCCCCACCGCAAGTCATCAACTTTTGGTTTATTAATTTACGCCGTATGACTCGACGACTACAAGTGCGTTTGGCTATCGGGGAACCCATTCATATGACCACAGGAGTGCCAGAGGGAGATAGTATGTCAGTTTGTAGCATGTTGGTTTTGTCGTCGGCTTTTTATTGGCTCCTCCACAGCCCTAATTTGCATCCGTACTGCTATGCAGATAACTGGTCCTATCTTACCTGTTCCCAACGAGAAGATTATCAAGCCTACCTGAAAATACGACAGATGGCGGACAGCCTCCGTTTGCAGATTGACTACAAAAAATCCTGGGTTTGGGGAATCACGAAGGCAGCACGCGACCAGTGGCAAGACACACTAAATGAAGTCCTTGATGATCCCCAACTAGTTCGCATTCTCAACTCGGCAAAAGATCTTGGATGTATGTGCCACTATACAAAGCAAATTGTCTTAGGACATCTCAAAGAGAAATTTACCAGCGCTGCCGCCAGGTGTAAACGATTAACGTACATTGCTACAACTTGTCGGTGAGTCCGACTTCAAAGAACTCCGCAGAGCCGCAACCACCGCATTAATAGGTCCGGAGCAGCAGTCCTCGTCATGGATGGCAATGCAGTACCTATACCCCGCCCTGCAGGATCCCTTCTTGTACGTAATAACCACGGCCTTATCCTTTCTTCGCCGTCTCTTTGTATACCATCCCGAGCAAGCAAACGAATTTCTATACTTGGTTTGTGATCACATAGGCCAACCACAAGGCCCCGCTGGGGCTCTGGCATGCTATCTTAACAAAGTCCAGTGGAAAATTCATCGGGACGGCTATATCACATGCCCTGGGAATATTGTTTTCTCAATTAAACATGATACCCCCAGGGATATTCGGAAGTTCTTGCATCGTGCATGGGATCTGGTAGTTCACCAAAATATCCGACATCGCAAGGGCGTTACTATTTCACCCTTTGATGCTGGTCTCACTCATAAAGTCTTACATCATTTCTCATCCACAGAGATCAAAGTGGTGGCTACAGATATCACAGGCGGATATCAAGTAGGGGCGGTTAAAGCACAATGGTCTAGTACGACAGATGGTACCTGTCAATATTGTCATCAGCTTGACACTCATGCACATCGCCAGCTGGAATGCCCAAAGTTCCAGCACATTCGTGATGCCCATCCATTGGCAATCTCGGTCCTGAATGCTAATCTCTATATGCTACACTTCCCTCTACCAATCCAGCATGAGTCGGTAAATCACCTCCGCCATCTATTGCATCAGCGAGGAAATCATAGCTCCCAATCTCATATAAGTACGTCACAGCAGACAATTTTTCTGTATACAGATGGTTCGGCTGATAACCCCACCCTTCCAGAGTTCCAGCGTGCTGCTTGGGCCGTGATTCAATTTGACCCACATTGCTCCCGACTTCCTTTTCGGACAGTGGTCATTCAACATGTACGTGGTCATCAGACAATTTCTAGGGCAGAACTTGCGGCCGTCACTTGGATTCTTCGAGAATGCCATGCTAATTTGATCACTAATCAGGTAGTGATCACCACAGACTCTCAATATGTCATTAATGCAGTACGCAATATTACAGAAAATCTCGATCAACCTATCCCCCAGGTTTTAGCCCATGTTGATCTCCTGCAAGATATTCGTGCCTTTTGGCGACCATGTCAATTCATCCTTCGCAAAGTCAAATCTCACCAGCCACTGCACTCCGCAAGAAACCAAGTGGAACTTA